GCAAAAGTGATCATCTAGACAGCAGAGTAACCCGACAGGTGCGTCGGTTCTCCGTGAACTGCAGAATTAATCTCCAACGGTAACTGAATTCCTTAAAAACATTAATTGACCTTATTTGATGCGAATTGACAGAATCCTGTCGTGTTTAAATACGGGCTGGAATCAGCAGTAGTATACAGCCAGAGCACCGTGGCTCTGAGCATTTTTGCGGCAGCGCAAACAAATTTTACGTTCTCGTGGGCGGAATGTTTAACTCCTTTATTTGTTCAGCTGGTACACGATATTAATTAACATACAAAGAACACGGGCTGGTGTTAATTGAATTCGTGCGCTTTTGTCTTGTTAATTTTTTTCCTTACCGTGATAAACAAAATTAAACATTACCATGATAATACAAAAAGAACCCGCACACCAACGAGCAAATATTTTGTTTTTCTTTGGTTTGTCCATTTCGTTTGCTTTCGGGGGTTCCTTATATGAGCCCTGCCGATCAAGAACTTCACAACAGTAGAGGTTTTAAAAATTAAAGGAACTTCGAGTTAAAGGAAAAAGGCGCGATTTAAATGTACAGGAACAAGTAATAGGTTTATTCCCTGTTGCAAAGTGAAGAAAGAAAACAACGTTTCGGCTGTGGAGCCTTCTTCGGGTGTGAGGGTGATTTAAATGTATACTTATTCAGGAGTTTAAAATCGAGCTGCCTTTGAAAACATGGTGATCCCATTTCATTATTTCTCCAGAAAAACCTGCTCATTGCCATCTTGAGAGGTACTTCTTTTAAATATCAAGTGACTTGGAATAGTCTTCCCCTCGTCAACCGATTAGACATACTGACGTAACACACCCCAACTTCAGGTCCATTATGGCTGATTTCGTAAAATAGCAGCAGCGACAAAATATAGGGATCTTTTGTGCTGGGATAGTTATTGCCCCCAGCGAGTTTGTTTTCAAAGATCTGGGCAAAGCATGATAAACATGTTTAGCCAAGTATTTTTTCATTGTTAGAACATGTACGTAAAAACAACCAAGAACACGCACAACTGGCTTTAAAGAAAAAAGATAATACTGCCTGACAGCCACATCTTCTTTCATATACTTCTCCCCACATTTGACCCGATCACCCATCTCCACCCACATAATCACAGTATTTTAAGTAGTAATATTCCTTTAGGTTACTTCAGACAAATCTGACCAGTTCTATACAGGCGAAGCACCGTAAACGCCTGATAACTGGTCCTTTTATTTTATGTTCGATTGTATGGTTTGAAACTTTGCTTGGACGTTTCTCATTTAGCCTAGATCCAGCATCTCCTAAAAATTGACATTAATTCCGATTTTTTAAAAAACGTGCATTACATAGAGATAAAAAAAAATCAGGAAAACGTATTAGCGTTTAAGATGCAATCGGCAAAGGGTTAATTTCACAAATCTATACTTTAAAAAGACGTGCAGCCCAAATATTTAAAACAAAATGAACGTCCATATAGACGCGCTATTAAATTGATTTGATCAAGTTTGATTGCGCCCGAAATCACGAATAAAAGTGGCAAAAAAACGCAGCTACATAAAGAAAACGGAATCAATTCAGAAATCTGACACAAAACGAAACCCCAAATAATCCGATTCGAATCAAAAGTTCTGCCGTAGCATTAACCTTTCCGTTTTCCGTGTCAGGCCAGAGCGTGAGAATCTGCTCACTCCCATTTCGCTTTGTACGGTTGTCACATAGGTATGGCCGAAGCCTACAATTTTAAAGAAAAATATTTTGGCCAATTATATATATGTAATGAGGTTAGCATTTTTTCCAATAAAAATGTTTTGTAATACGTCCCCAGAAAGCAAAATAGTTGAACTTAACGATCGGTTCTTTGGCCTCACGCTATTTTCTAGCGGACTTTTATTGCGAGTAGTTCATGGCAAATTGTTATTTTTTTGTCCAGAGAGTTCACGACAATTTTCAATTTAGTAAACTTCAATGTTATAATAAACGCGACAGTAGTTCGATTACATTCTGTTTTATATATAAAACCTGCATTAGCGCTTGAAGGAAAACAATTTAGAGAAGAGATGATCGATTCACTTGAAACATCTAGATATTAGTTATTTTATCGATAAACACTTCTACATATTTGCGAGGTATTGTTCTTCACGACACCGACTGGTTTGGGCGCTCCGAGGAACACCACCCCATTCATTTACAACTCAATAAATCACTTTGGATATTTTGTTGTTAAACTGATCTTTATTTTATGGACATGAATGTAAGGGCGTTTGCCTTAAATACATTCAACATTTCACTGGCATACCGAAATTGTATGTCTAATCCACATTTTTTTTTTTGCTCATTATAAAAAAAAAGGACAAATCAGTCATAATTAACAAAGATGTTCAAGTGCTGCTATTAAAAATGAGTCGGCAACATACATCACTATTAGACAATGTATCTAAGGTTTACTAGATATCGTTTTAATTTTTTTTAAGATTTGAAAAACAGCAGCTTGAATGGAAATCCAATATAATCGATATTTTTTTTTTGTTTTCCTGGGCAATAACCTATGATTGTTCGCCACAAAAGGAATCCTACTTGGATATTGGACATTTACAGCCGATTTTCTGGACATTCAGGGACAATTCATTTGACTGTTTTGTCGTTGCTCTTAAACAATTTCAATCCAGCAACACCAACTAAACGTGGTCACTGTAATGGACCCAAATACATATTTACAAAATTTCAGCTTCTTTATGCAGCTGTCTATTTTTTTTCTTCCTAAAAATAACAGAATACGAAGAAAAACCTATACACAATTGAACTGGACTGGGGTGGGGGGGAGGGGGTGGGTCACCAGACCGAGAGTTTTTAAAAAGTTCCTGTGTGAGAAATTACTCTCCATGAACAAGACCTAAGAAAACAGAGAGGCTTGACGCACGGGCTTCTCACTGCAGTTTGGTTAAACAAATCTTTGCTTTTAAAAAATAATTATAATAATAATAATAATAATTATAATAATTGTCCCGCATTTTCGGTGGTCCACAGACTTTTAGATTCTTCACTGATTAAAAGGGGATTAAAACTGGAAGGAAAAAAACGCAGGCCAAAGCTGTGCCCAGCAAGATAAGTTTTGGTTCTGTTTTCTTTAAAAGGGATGGGGGGGGAGGGCAAAAAATTATTTGAACGTCTCTGACAATTCAAGTTCGTCAAGACTTATTCGTCTTAAAAGATTAAAAAAAAAAACACCTTGGATTCACAAGACCTGGAACCTCCAGGATGCCTGATCTTTATAGTCCAAGCAGTCCGTGGCGTTGAAGTTGAGTTTCCAAGAGGAGGCGGTCTGGTCTTTGTAATCCAGGCAGTCCGAGGAGTTGAAGGCCAGCCCTGCGCCACTGTAGCCCTGGTGGTGGTGGTGGTGGTGGTGGTGGTGGCCCGAGGACTGGCTCAGGTGATGGTGGGGGTGCCCGGGCATGGAGGACGCCGCCATGGGGCTGAGCTGGTGGCCGTGGTGGTGAGAGTGCATGGGGCTCAGGTAGGAGCCACAGTCGACGCCGCTGAAGTAGGAGCCCGAGGGGCCCGGGTAGCCCTGGCTGTAGCCCGTCGCCTGGCTGTAGGACATGGGGTAGGAGGCGGCCGAGGCCCCAGAGACGGAGCGCTGCATGCAGGAGGCGCTGGTGGGGGGCAGAGGGTCGGGGATGGAGACCGAGGGCGGGGCCGAGCCGGGAGAGATGGAGGCCGGGCTCCAGATGGACGAGACGGGGGTGCTGATGGAGGCGGAAGTGCTGCTGAGGCCGGCGTGGCCGGTGGAGTTGGAGCCGGAGGAGGAGGACGAGGACGAGGACGAGGACGACGAGGACGAGGAGCCCGAGCCCGCGCTGGACACGGCCGGAGGGGTGAACTGGCCGCTGCTCTCCGAGCCCGTGCTCTCCCGCGCCGGGGACGACTTCTTCTTCGCCGGCCTGGCCTTGGCGTTGCTGCCGCTCTGCTGCTGCTGTCGGCACTTGGCCCTGCGGTTCTTAAACCACACCTGGCAGGGGCAAACACGCAGAGCTTTAAGACAGGCCCCCAAACAACAGCCATGTGTACGGTCTGCTAAATTGTTTTGCATTTTGGTCTTAACATTTTCACTGCTGGCGATATTTCATATGATACAAGTGCTCCTGGCTTCTGTTTTGAATAAAGTTCCCCTTATTCATGAGGTTGGCCTAATCATGAACAATTTCCTCATGCACTTTGGAGAACAATAAGCTGCAGAGGCACCCTGCATTGTTCTTTATATGATTTATCCCAGTTCTGCTCTATTCCAGGCTTCAGTTATCCCTGCGAGAAGCAGGTTTGATTGTGACACTCCGAAAAGTCTAGGACTTTTAAAGTACTAACTTTCGCGGTCATCTGTCGGAAAGGCCCGATGTGCACGTTTACCAGAACTAAAGACTGTGGCTCTCCTCTGCAAGCAACAGATTGTTCATTTCCCATTAAGTACGTATCTGCAATTAATTCAAGACCGTCTATAACGGAACGGGTTGAAAATGTTTATTTGAAACAGACGTCTGGGCACAAAAAAAAAAGAAATGGAAAGAATGATCTACTTGAAAATGAAAAAAAAACACACACGAAGGAACGGTCAACTCTAACACAGTATAAGTCGCGTCATGCGATAGATCGAAGGTAAAACACCATGTGGGATAAGTTTACTTCAACTCGATGCTTTGATACACCATGAACAAAACGAATACAATTCTATGAATATCTACATCTTCTGAGACCGCAGGGGAAGTAACTATTGATCGGTTATAACCGTTATCCATTGCAAGATTAAGCTTCACACCCTCGGTTCTGCAGCGCATGAACTCGTGCTGACTAAATGATATTTAAATATTTAGTCAGTGTCTATGCCTTTTACATAACTCATGCGTTGACTTTAGCAGAATTCTTTTCGCTTATTTCCCGGAAATTTACAGATAATAAGCGCAAGAGGGGGCCACTGAGCGAATAATAGAAAGCCCCCCAATACAAATTTGCACCGTGCCCTCAAAACGAGATGTAAAATGGTTGCATACAACACATTCAAATACGGTGCTCTTAATCAGATGAGTCCAACGGCAGCAACAGCGGCATTTAAAATACCTGTACTCTTGACTCGGGCAAGTTGATTTTTAACGCCACCTCCTCCCTCATGAAAATATCCGGATAACGAGTTTTCGCAAAGAGCGCTTCCAGAATGTCCAGCTGTGAGCGCGTGAAAGTGGTCCGCTCCCGACGCTGTTTTCTCGGGGTCGCTGGAAGGCAATATTAAATATTTCAGAAATCCGTGCTTTCTTTTTTATTGCACATTTAACATGCTATGAGACTCACAGTCTGCCGTTTTAATACTGGTGTATTGTAAAGGGTAAAAATCGAAAACCTCATATTACCCCTCCACAGATCATTTAATATTCGTTAGCCATGGGTTAAAATGGTTTCTTTACAATTCTGGACAAGAACTCGACGTGCAAAAGTCTTTTGGCGCTGTTTTGAATGTCTGTACCTGCGGACAGACATTACAACGCCATTTCGAGAAGGCTACAAATGTTAAAATACAGTACCATTTTTCATTCTGTGTAAAAATAAACAACAGGAAACATTTCGAAGCGTCAGATTAATTTTTCATGAGGCAGGCCTTCGTTAATAATTAACCCGAATCTGATGCCGGCCTCATGCAGGTGTCACAGTCTACAAAGTTTATGATAGTAAAGAAAAGGTAAGGCAGGTTTTTATACAAAATCATGGCTACCTCATGTTAGTCTGCACTTCCTAAAGAAAAAAAATAAATCAGGCTTTTAGACACGGAAACAAATCAGAGACTAAAACATTAACATTAAATCATAGCTCTGGGCCTAAAAGTTTTCTTCTCTTTTTAATTTAGGGAAAAAATATTTCGAGTACAGAACAAATAAGCCTGAAGCTGGAGCGCAGACCATGCATTTAGATTTTTTTCTTCTCTTTACCTGGATATCCCACTGAAGGATGTAGTAACTCCATAGCTGTTCCGCTCAGCCCCAGCCCGTTCATACCGTACGGGGGCTGTTTGAGGTATGACATCATGCTAAAGGCTTTATCAGGTTCCTCCAAATCTTGCCAATTATTCTATATTCTCTTATATTAAACTCCGGGTCAATAGGGCGATCAATTGAAAGCACTGAAAAATAATCATAAAAAAATCAATTAAAGTCTTCATTCAAGTTACTATCTCTCTGCTAGAATTCAACACGGTGCATTTAAACTCTCTAGAAAGGTTACAAGCCTTGGTGTAAAAGCCGTGCCCACAGCATTTTCGTGACTGGCAGTCGGTAACGTAAAAATGTCGTGAAGTGATTGAAATTTTACTTCAATCAATTTGGTCACAAAAATGAGGAAAGTACTTTTAAGAATTCAAAACACGGGGTGAGGTACGCGTTTATGCACTCAACAGAATGTCAATTTTGAAGAAGCGACCCCATTTTTTTAAGTACGAAAAAATACAATTGCTGTATGAAGGAATCAATGGCAGAAATATTACTGTTAACCTATTTATAATTTATTGTATTAAAAACACCTCAAACAGCGAAGTTCGACAAATACAAACCACTGTGTAATACAACCAACACTCCAATATTTTTGGTATGTAGGTGTCAAACTTCTTTTAGATGGAAATGTAGTTCAGCGTTGTAAAAACTGTCAGGAGAAATGTGAAATTGTGGTAATATTAACTAGGTCATAAAGCCAAATAAAAAGTTTTTCAGCTGCGAGATATTTACGAACTGTAGCTCTCCACTTTGGAATTGTTTTGTTACTGTAATATAATACGAATTCATATTTTTAAATGACGTGATATTGAAATAAGCTCCAAACATATACATCTTAAATCGTAAATTTAGAATTTCCAAAAAAAAAGTGTCACGTTACTGAATTAATTTGACTTTCTAATGTGGCCACCATCTCCACAAATACCCCCACTATTCATAATTATTAAGTAATATTGAAAACAAATTAACGTGAATAAACAGGAATGTAAAGGCTTCCAGTTATAAACTAATTCCAACTGAAGCAGATAAAGGAAAAACGCTTCAAGGTACAGTTATACATCTGAACGACATGTTGTTTCCAACATTCTTTATCATTTAAAATGTATTCGCATTTCTTCGAAACCTAAACCTGCCAATATCGTATTTTCGATTCAATTATTTTGTTAACTACTAGAACTCCCCCTCCTAATCAAGATAAGATCTGGTCCCGTGCTGTGAAAATGAACCGGCAGTAAACCTGGCGTATTCTGTGTATTTAGATGTTTCTTAAACTACATTTGCAGCTCCACAGGACGGAGATAAACTAGATTGAAAAGGCGAGAGCTCCGTGCAAATGAACTCAATTACAATTTAGATTAGACCTCCAGGGAGACCATTTAAAGAAGGGGTCTTATCAGCAAAATAAATTAACAAAAACCAAAACACGCCTCTCCAATTATCTACTAAGTAGATTCAACATTTTTAATGGGCAATCGGTCTCTTATAATTATCCATTTCCATGAGAATAAATATATAGGCTATATAAAAAAGCAGTCCAAACAATTCTCGCATCAAGATCGAAGTTGTTTTAAATTCCCCATACTCTTTGCTGTGCACATTAATTGGGATCTTTAAATTGTTTTTGGGGCAGCTAAACACCTTCTCTAGAGCGCACAGACAGAACAGCAGGCTTCTCAGACCGTATGTAGGATAGCCTACGTGTAACTTTTATCGAAACACGTATTGTACACCAAGAAGGTCCATTTAAATATCATATCATCATCATTATTATTAACACAATTAATGCCCAACATTCAGAAAATGTATTGCGCTTATGCTGCACATTAAAATTACTTATATGGCAAACTTCACGAAACAAAACAAGAAACAAACCAAGCTATGCGAGTCGTGTTCATACATGGCAAATTTCTGAAGCGAAAGCGAACTAGACGAAACCATGCAAACTTACCTTCAATTTATTTCTTTTTTTTTTCGATGGTCAACAAGAAGCGTATTTACATAGAACAATATCCAGCAAGTGAAGAACTCTGGGATTCAGCAAGGTGGAAGAAAATAAGGAATTTAAAACTACCTATATCATTCGCTATACTTTTTAATGGTTAAAAAAAAAACCCCGTCGTGCGTTTACGTTTCTGTACCAAACACTTGCAAACCGCACGTGTTCGCCGTCGTTTCACTGCTGCAATCAGTGAAAGTTTCCGGGTTGGAAAACCAAATAAATCAAACGCATTACCTTGGCCGCAATGTATGTCTTCCACTGTGTTTAAGGTGATTGCTAATGTAGACCGATGAAGATTGATCACCTTCTCTCCGCCCTGCCCTTCTATGAGTGTGAGACACCTGCGGAACCGCCCCCTCGCACCAATCCGTGAGCGCTCTCCCCATGATTGACGTCGCAACGAGTCAATAACTGAAAAGAGTTAGGGGGAAGCCCCTCCCCTTCATACTGGGAACAACATAAACCTGCAAAGTAAGACCAGGGGGATAGAAAATGTTTTAAAAATGAATTGGTGTTTATTTTGTTGCAATTTCGTTAGCCACTGAACTGAGGGCCGCTAAAAACAACAAAACAGAGTGTTTCTGTCAGGTTGTAGCGGAAAGTTGTCGATTTGCGTGCGTGAACGAGAAAATCTAACCTTTAAAAGAAGTATTAACTTTTACAGTATTTTCTGTTTAAGGATTATTTTTAACAGATACGGAATTTGGCGAAAGAGGGGCCTGTACACGTGTTATTTGAGCAGGAAAGATCAAATCTGGAGATTTTACTTGATCTTTTGAAACGGTTAGGTGCATGAGATTTCTTCAGATGTTACGGATTTTTTTTTCGCAGTGGAGAATTTATACTTTGTGTCACCTACTAAAATACAGAACTAAGCGGCTTTCATCAAATGTAAAATTAAGCTAGTTTTAAGAATTAGGCAGTAGCTACGGGACTTTAATGTGTATTTAATGTGATAAACGTAGACGTATTAAAATTACTATAGGTTTGGGAGCAAAGTTTTTGCAAAATTAAATTTTCTTTTAGATCATGAAATTGTGCCTTACACATGTCCATATTCTAACAAAGTAACAAAGTAGTATAACTTCAACTTTATTTTATTTTGTAACAACCTATCAACTAAAATCCTGAGCAATTGGTTTTTTTCTGCTGATTTAACATGGAGATGGTGTAACATATTGGTGCCAAGATCTGTCGACCAATGTCCTTTGAAATTTAGTGCGCATTATTTCTGTTTTAGTAAATATGCCGAAACAATCTGTATTACATTTTTTTTATTTTAGCAACCATCTCATGAATATTGATGATGAGTTAATCCCCCACTTAGAATTACATTTCAGAATAGTCAGCGTAAAGTTTAATAGGGACTGTCTTTTAACAGAGCGGTTGGGAGGGGAGAGTGAAAAGGACGAGAAAAACCCAACCGACACCAGAAAATAAATGAAATCAGGCAAGAAAGCTCAGTGGCTGGGTATCAAAGAAAGCACCTTTCAAGCGTCACTTTCCTAAAGAAATGCCAATAAAATACGGTAACAGAATATCATGGAGGGCACACTGTTTCCTTAACTGTTTCTCAAAGGGTCGGGATATGTTCTGAGGACCCTAATAAGCCTTTGCTCGCTCCTATTGTTGATCTCGCAAAATCAACTCATTCTAATTGAAGCCGGAGCTGAAAGCGAGCTAATGTTCAAAGACAGTGACCGCCAGACGAACGAAATTACATTTTTGACTATATAGGACGACTAATCAAAGGCAGGGTCTACACGATTCTTCTATAGATCCAAAAAGTCATCGACATGAGCACTTTTTTTTAAGAACAAAGGTGCCGCTACAAAGGCACAGAAGGTTTGAAAACAAAAAAAAAGTTCTTACGTGAGGTGTTTTTTTACACAGACACTGACAAACAGACCCATATAGGCCCATATGTATATACCCGTGTGTCTGTGTGTGTATATGCACACAAGTTTATCTGCATGCTGATAAAACACAGTTTTCAAATACATTTGCACGGATCTGATGTCAAAGTATGTACCCGCAGTATTTCAATTACACACCAATATTTGGATGGACATAGTTTCCCCACACGTTAAACCCAGATGATTTCTTGTTTAAGCGGATCTTTGCATTAATGCAGAAAAAAACGACAACATTGCAGATTAAAATTTAGTTTAAAAAAAACAACAAAAAGTCTTCTTTTAACAATTCGCCAGATTTGCTGTTTTTTATTCGTGATCTCTGTTTAAGATGTGATCAACCCTGTGCAAGTATCAAGGTATCAAGTAGCACTAACCTTTTGTAATAAGAGTATTTGTCTAATCCCAAATTGCAGACGAATTTTCTTAATGCTGAGCCTATAAAGGCCGGGATTAAGGAAGCGGAGGGAAAGGGGAAAAAAAGTTTTGTCTCTTTAGCCGACAGGATTGTATTAGATCGTGGATGTTGTTGGGTGCTTATTAAAACCGTGATGCATAAAATACGAAATCTGTAAGAGCCCCAACACAAGAAGATTTGTAACGTCTTCCCTGGGTTCATTTTTTTTGAAAACTAGGAGGGAAATTATACAGGACACAACGGCCGGGGCTCCATGAAATCCGACTGATCAACACCTGTGAGGTGAAACTAGACTTCAAAGTGTTTACATCTACAATACACAGGAGATTATTCCATTCTCACATCGACCTCTTAAGATATTTTCTGCAGTGCTCTTCGTAGCAAAAGACGCATCTTTCTTTCCGTTTTATCGTTTTTTTGGGGGGGGTTCTCATTCACCAACGTTACTGCTGAAAAGCTACCAGTGCAGGTAAGCACCGAGAAACATATTTTATAGAATTTTCTGTGTCAAGAAATAATCTTATTCCAAAAATTATACCGGATGTTACAATTCTTAAAAAAAAAGATCGTATGGCGATTTCTGATTGTACAGCGGAATAATGGAAATCCATATATCTGTGAATTAGGAGCGCATCTGAAAAGTTCATTCGAAAACAGTTTAAAGTTCGAGAAGCTAAAAGTAATCTCAGTGTAACGTGAATATTGGCTACAAAATACAAATGATAATTCTACGAAAAAAGGTTTTTCTTAATGTTAATACTAAATATACGGGCTATGTTTGCCCTTGAAGTGGTAGCACTTATTTGAATGACTTAAATCATAGAAATAACCCAGATATTTCCGATATATATATATATTGATATAATGTAACCGTCTTCCGAAAGTCGTCGTTAATAATTTAAAGTTTTTTTCTCATACAAGGTTGATACAGTTGTTCTATTAGAAATTCTAGGACCATTAAAAACAACAGGCTTCACATGAATATAAACCATTTTCCCGAATTGTTTTGTGATGGTATTAAAATGGTTATGCTGTCGATGTTCTTTGTACGCCAGTGTTCTTGACAACACTGCTACGGTTGCATCAGCGGCCAGAAAAGTACAGTGTACCTCGGAAAATAATGAACTGGAAAGTGTCGCGTCCGAACACAGGTTTTTTTTATAATACTGTGCTTCCCAATTCATATTTCTTAAAAAATAAATGTATTGAGTTAAAGAATTAACAAAGACGGGTATTCATTCAATGCAGCAAAGTTTTTCGGAAGTGCATTCGATTGTGAACGTTATAAATTGCAGGTTATTCAACAGATCACGGTCACCAATAATAACAACATCATAACGAAAACAAATCGCCTTAGAGGACATAATATGGGTATACAGTTGGACCCAAGCAGAGAGCCGATCAGCAAATTAATTTGAAAGTATTAGAAAGGCCAGAGAGGACGTCAGCTGTCAAAACTTATTTTTCACTATTTAATCACAGTGATGAGGACGCAGTGATGAGTATTTCGTGGCTGGTGTCATTAAGAGGCGGCTCTTTATATATAAAAAACCTTGCTGGAGAAGGGACCGAAGGTAAACAGATGTTCCGTACAAAACGATTTCGTCTAATCTGCCTCTCAGGAATGAATAATCTGCATTAACCTAAATTAAAACAAAATGCAAACACTCATTTATAAATGAATTTAAAACACGGGGGAATTCGGTATAACTCCTTGTTAGAAGAATCATTCAGATTCAACTTATGTTTTAGCCTATACATCTTACATTATTTGCACTGTAGACTGGTTGCCTTTTCTTTTTAATTGATGTGTCCAATTTAATTCCAAAATGACATGTTGTAAATAATGGCAAAGTAAACTTCGGGTATTTTACTGAAAACAAATTTGCAAATGCTAAACAAATTAATGTAGCATTTAAAAAACCTATTATTCATTATTTTCAGCAAATACTCGGCGTTTTATTATGAGCACCCCGTCACTTTCTTAAATGTTAGTGGGTTACAGAAAACGCTTATCTTTAAATGTGATTTTGAGATTTTAAGCCCTGACGGGTGAAAGGATTGTGCAATTTTCTAACCCTCCACTCTAAACGGATACCCGATTAAATGGTTCATTATCGCACGCAAAAACGTTATTTGAAATAGTCTGCGCTACTGTACTTTTTATTTTACGACTTCGAAGAAAAAAAATTAAAATAGCGATGAAAATAACGAAAATGTTATTGGTCGTGACTGCAAACTTTATAAGCATGTACACCCCCAGAATTATATTACACTGAAGAAATTAGAATTTATTTGAATTCTCCACTTTCCAGCAAGCTAAAATCTAAACAGTTTGGAAAGACGGATTAATGCACGCGTTTCTCAAAGTTTTTTTTATGGTTTTTAACTTCCTACTAGTAATATAACCTGGTCTATAAAACTTAAAATTTCGCCACTGAATTAAGTTTTATTTATATCTGGATCCAAGATTTCAATACAGAACATGTCGCTTGATCATATCCTTAGCTATTATGGTCAACCCCATGTGAATAACAACCGTAAACCATATGAAAGTACTTAAGATTTTTATTGTGGACTCATATATGACACTGGAATAAATAAACAGGTAACTGTTTACACGAGAACACAGCCCATCAGCTGCAAAACCAAGATATCTGCATCTCAAAGCCAAATCTTTATCTTAAAGTATACAATAAATATTAAAAAAAAGTCCTTGAGCAAAAACACATGATCAAGATGTTATAGTTACTAACATGTAGCTCAAGTATGGAAAAACTGCAATAAATAATTAGATTAACAAGGTGGTGTCTCAAATTGTCTTCTGAGGAAACTATTGCAAACTAACTTAACCTCATAGCAATTACAGTATACAACAGATACTGCTCTCTCTCTTCTAAACAGACCAGTTTCTCTAAAAAATCTGCTAAACTTTAACGTAAAAATGAATAATGTCCTTATTTTTAAATATTATTCTTTCCTTCTCCTTAAGATTTCTTAAATAAAAAAAAACATTGAAGCAACTTATACAGTAATTAAAAGACTTCAGGGCCATCATAAAATATTTAAAGTCAATACAAAGTTTTTCTCATTGAAATTTCCTTTTTCTTCCACTGTTGACAGTTTTTTTAATATCTTGGTTACCTATTAATAATGTAACAATTCGATTTATTTTCCAACGATTCATTTTACCCTTCCCCATAACTACACATTTGGATCAACAACACTGTGCTTTTTGCAGGAGCTCTTATTAAAAATAATAAACAAAATACAGTTGAAATATTCTTGATTAACCATTTAATCACATCATATCCATTTCAAAGTGTTTTGAGAGCGTGAAGCCACATCTTCTACCTTTTTGCGCATGAAAGTTTAAGTACAGGTACCTTCTGATTTAATAAAAACAGCTGGATTTCTGTTGAAAACCATATAAAGCAGTGAAGGGACCATATTAAACTATGAACAAAATATTACACAGTTTGGGGACCAATATGATTATGGGACTGTAGGTTTATATAACTGAGTAAAGTTCTAAAAGAGTTGGTATTACAAAGATACAGTTTTTTTTTTCATTTGATGGGAATCACTGAATGACACATTTTTCTTCTTTCTTAGCCATTTTGCCTTTGTTTTGTTCCAGAGTTCTTTCCAAATGTTCGTCCTCCTCTTCAGCCCTGCAGAAGAAACAATATGTTTAATACACAATATTTTGTGGTAGCTAACTATGGTCTTTAGAATTGTACAATATGATAAAGGAAAGTTTGAAATAGTTATAAAGTGCTAGGCATAGCACACAGTATGACTACAGACCTAATTTTGTTAAAAATCTTCTTAAAAGCTTATTGATCCTAAGGTTTACTGTACTTCCTTATAGTATCCTTCTATAGTGGTGAACACTATAGAGTTACAGTACAATGCAGCATCATCCTTTCCTACTCCTCTCACTGCATAATCCATACTATTAGAAATAGAGCATGTTCTCATCATGTGCGCCTTTTGGGACTTACTGTTTTTCCTGGGCATCCAAGTCCCTGACCAGAGCATCTCGTTTATTAACCAGAATAACGAGTTCATCCAGAAGAAGCTGCTCTCGTCTTTTCTGGGCTTCTGTCTTCTGCCAGTCTGAGAAAGGCAGAGGAAGAGAGAATTATTTGGGATTTTTTTTTAAATTAATGGCATTCAAGACCAGGTTTAATGAGACAGGGCCTACTTAGAAGCTCATCAGTATGCGTGATGTCCCAAATTGGAATCTTTGCTCTTGAGCACGATAGCTCTGCGCGCCCTGACCCATTCCACACCTTAACACCTTCTGCTGGCACAGCCGTGATTAATGAGCGTGTGTGTGTCTGCAGGAGCAAAATATCAGCTACCCCTGTCTGCAGGTTCTGGATGCAGATCGACACAACCCACTTTCATGTCTGTAGTATGAAAGTATTCCATAATACCATCAGCTTTCCGGCAGTAAGGTAGTTTCAAATTTTTTATTTTCTGCTCCACTGACATGTATTCCAGTGCTATAATTTATGTGAATCTTGATCTTAAAGGAATTTCAAAAAACAAGTTAAAGCATGAATAGCATGTAAAAATAAATACAGTATTTTTTTCTCATGCTGTCGAATTGCAACAGTTGGGCAGATTTCACGCTGGGGACCATATGCCTGCCCTGAAAGATCTGCTCTATTCCAATTTAACCTCTAGTGCTTTGATGTCACAGATCAAAATTACAGTTTCAGTATTGTCAAATCATGTTAGGCATGGAATCATATCATTAATAATATCCCTTTATTTTGGGTTTACATATTGAAGACTTTCTATCACATTTTTGCAGTATGGTTTGATGAGTCATGCATCCAAAAAAGTGATGCTATCATCTCACAGCCTGAAAATGATGCTTTAACCCTGCTCTGTCAAAGTGCTACAGAACACTAAGGGAGGCTGCCTCGTTTCTAGCTAGACAGAAGCCCCTCAGCTCTGTGCAGTTTGTCACATAGATGTTGACTGTTTCTTTAAAGCCATGCTTGCTATTTATGGTCGCTGAACAAAACCTACTGAAAGACAAGCAGGGACCTAAATCCTCACTATTTGTCTTTATGCTAACCCCAGTTCTGTTGCCCACTGAAATCCCCACTTGAGTGAAAAGGACAGAGCCAGGGGAAAGGAAGGGCAGAGCCAACAAAAACTTTTCAAGAATGCCACATATCTGCAAAAAGGGGTAGATATTTTTTTTCCCTACACACCTCAGAGCCAAAAGCCACAGTGCCTCCCCTTGCCAGGCAGACAGTGGGAGCATGTGGCTGTCAATCAGAAAGCAGGCTGTCCCGCCCACCTCATTAGGAAGGTAAACAATAAAAAAGAAGGCGCAGTAGATGATGAGAGACATAGCAGAACAAATGAGGACCAGGAGGGAAATCAGACACCAGCTTAAAAAACCTACAGCCACTGACTGAAGCAACCGCCTCCCCCCCAGTACACCCCCTCCTAAAAAAAAGAAGAAAACAGACCAAAGAGTGTGTGCAGTCCTTTTGGATTACTCTCTTCTCTCCCTTTCTCCATTGCCCTGGGCAATCACGCTAAAACTCACATGGCCAGTGCTTATTCAGATAAACCTAACAATGCACACCATCGGTTACCATGTGAATCTTCACAAGCCACACAAGAATGCGCTGGTTCAAATCCCCCTGACCCCCCTCCAATGCAAAATTTATTCAAGAGCGCAAACTGCTCAGCAGCTTTATGAAAGCAAGTGGTTCTTCAGGGAGTTCTGGTTTATATTTACAAATTTACACTGTGATACATCTCCATACGATGGAAGCTTTGTAATAACACACAGATTGTCTCCCGTGTTTAAGAGATTTATGCAGGTATATATATATATTTGCCATTTTGCAGTATTTGTTAGTAGTTAGATGTTTTAATTGAAAAAGAAGAAAAAAAAAACTCATGGAACTACCAGACAAGGATATGTGATCTCGTTTCAAGAGATTTTTGGTCCGACAGAGAGAAATACAGACCGGCCTAAGATGCAGATTTGGTTTTATGTTCTAAATTCACAGATCTCAAATGACTTTTGTTTTGGAAAAGTTAACTGCTGGAAATAAAAAAAAAGATTTGTGCGACAAAAGCCATGTTATTTGTAAAACAGAACACTGAAAGTAATTTAAAGCGGTATTTTTCTTGAGGTGATTGTGGACCTACAATACAGAATGCTTTTCTGAAAGAAAGGCTCACTTTTTGAACACAAGGTTACCTGCCTAACAAAGGCCAGGTCAACATCAGAGAGAACAATAATTGGCTGGATTCCAGAGGGCGTCTCTCGTCACACTGTGCCCTGCTGTCCCAACAAGCCAGCCAGCCAGGATGGAAAACAGAGGTAGAAGTTGATGGAGCTAACAGATTAATAAATAAAGAAATACTGATGACTAATAAAGACTTTAAGAATGTTTGGATTATGCCCCCAAGATACATTTCTGGTAATAAAATTAGCAGTTTGACTCAAAGAGAAGAAACCAAATTGTTGTTTACCACTACAACCACTGGGAAATAGGATAAAGATTGCTAAATTAAACTTCCACACACACTGCTTACAAAAAATGCATGAACATTGCTTTTCTGTTACTTTACCAATCGTTGCATATGTGCGCAATGAACTTAGCAATTAAAAGCAAAGAAAAACCTGCGACCTGTATTTATTACAACCTGTACCTGACTACAGAATACAAAAATAAATATGAATGTGATGCCTAAGTGATGTGGAAAATGAGAATTCTAATAATAATACTCACAATAACAAGAGCTCAGTTACTGAGTCATGTATCGCAATATTTCTGGTCACATCGGAATGCAAAAAAGTTGCAGTTCCTTAATCTTTTTTTAGGTTTAAATGTCTGTTATTAAACCCTCAGAATTTCTGTAAAACTCAGGCTGTACTTTAATGGAAATTAACACAGTTTTTGTTAAGAGTGCACAGGGGATTGCAATCGAGTCTTATCTTTAGTTCCAGTCAACTAGCAATCCTGAAAGAGTTTGCAACATCATCAGAGCAGGCCATTTGATAGGATTCTACTGCTGAACCTAATCAATCTGTGGAATACTGTGGCTGGGCTGTGTAACAAAGCTAAAATAGATTTACAAATGGGGTTTTTAGGGGATAAGCTCCTCCACAGGATTACATATTGATTTTAAATATATAAAAAAGCTTATCATATAAACCGTAACTACAAAAATAGTGAACCTATGCATAAATCCCTTTAGAAGAGCGTCCACTTTCAAATACTAACCAGGAGTGAATCAAGTCATACAGAAATCCGGGGGAAAAAAAAAAGATCCATTTTGTGGGAGAAAAATAAACACGCCGCGTTCTAAAGACCACCCCAGGGTGTGTAAAACTAAACCCAAGCAGCTTTTCTAGGCAAACATTAAATACGCAAGGACAAACAACAGAGCTACCACAAGATTATTCCAACATCATTTTAAGTATTTGTTACTCAGTTAGCTGTGCTGTAAATCCACTGACCTAACACACTAAAATCCAGGATCAATTTTTTTTCTCTTCTGTAATCCGTTAATAAAACTCAAGACCTTTTACTAGAAAATCACTATCGCTTTGCTATTACTTAAAGGGAAAAAATTCTCATGTGCATAAGTTTTTAAATAATGCCAGGAAGTTTTGCTTCATTGATCTTCTTGCGAAATATTAAGCTTATTTGCACAATGCGCGGCGGCTATACCCGAGTAGGATGCCTGGCTCTTTGCTGGAAGATACAAACCAGCGATTCCACAAGATTTATTTCAGTGGAGTCCGTCTATCTCAGTATCAAATCTTATCTAACTCTCCCTCCTAAACATTCCTCCTAAAAAAAAAAACTCTCCACACATATGATATTTTATCAACAAGCCATGTGAAAACTGTCCACACATCACCAAGTAACACAAAGGTTGACAAATAAGGAACAGGGGTTGTCCCCACACAGCCAATGCTGACAGGTCAAGCCCATGTCTGATAAAGTGCCTTCACTTTCCATCAGTAGGTCTCTGCATGAGCACTTCAAGAGGCTATGTCTCTCTGTCATCAACTGGCCAAGCAAATCAGCAATTACCTGTCTGTATTGCACAGTCATGAATGGACCTGTTGGAGCACTAAATAAGAAATGATGTGCGCTCTTCCCTCATCACTAGGTCAGAACTATCTGTCTCAAAGAAGAAAGCCCTACCTTTGAATGTTAAGTGCTCCTTTAAAAAAAAAAAGAGACAGATAAGTTATATTCTGTAAATTCAACAAGTTGAAGTGCAAGAGTCTAGAACACGGGCGCCTGCACACATGTATGCAGCATGCACAGGCTCAAAAGAGGCTCTGGAAAGTTAACACAGCCCGGTGTGATTTTTCTTAAGAGTCACCCACTGACCATTCAAGAACTAATGATCACATCCGGAAGATTGTTTTCTTAATAAAAAAGAAAAGCTTAATATGAATACCTACAATCTGTTTGTCTTTTTGCCCCTTTAACTATTCTTGAAAATTTTAAATTCATAATGTGAGCTATCAGAACCTCAGGATAACACAAAAGATGCTGACTTACTTTTTTTATTCTGAAACACAATAGATACAACTATATAAATAAAGCAACACTTAACACTGAAGGGAAGAAATACTCCTACAAATGTGAAATGTGAAGGATTCCATTATCTTAAAAAAATCTTCTGATAAATGCTAATTCTGAGCAAAGACTTACATTAATACAAAACTTTTATCTTTAAAAGCCTGTACTTTATTTGACAAACAAAAAAATAAAAACAGGTAAACTGACAGAAGTAACAACAAAAACAATCTGTTTCCTATGAATGCATGCTATCGGTGAAGACTCCAAACTAATTAGAATTGATTTATTATGGATCAGGTACCTTATCAGGTGAAGAAAGAAATTACCATGGCCAGCCAAAGGGTTAAGAGGTCACAATCGAATAGCAAAATCAATTTGCATTGATTGTAAAAGGTTCATTTTGAGAAACAGGACACAGTCAAAAGGATTAAACTTAAGCAGACAACTTTGATACAACACAATGGCCTCTTTTATAGCCTGAAAAGAGTCTGCTTACCTTGATTTATCTGGTGACTCAAAATATTTTTTCATTTATAAACATGCACATGCATACCTAAAATGAGTTGAATATTGCACATACACATGCATGATTTTATATACACAGTCTTAATTTTTTATTTGAAAGTTTTATGTCACTTAAAAAGTCGGGGGACCCCTGCAAATCCCAATATAAAAAAAATGTAACTGCAGAATTTTGTAGCATGAATTTAAAATTCCCCTGCATGTTTGGTTCACCTGAAACTAAAACGCTTTTAAAATTAAGGAGACCTAGTAAATAACGTTGGAAAAGATCAATTAACTTATTTTTCTGTACTAACGTTTAGAATTACCGTAAAATCAGAAACTTGAACCAAACAACCCTGCTGATGAAAAGGAGAAATAAATCCCAGTGTTGTGTCATAAAGAAGCACACTTTTACTGCACGCTTCTGGGCCAAAGTGCAGTCTGTTCATATTCCTTTCAGAAAGGCTCTGTGTTCGTCTTACCTTCTATCGCCAACATAGCCCGCAACTCCCGGTTCAACAGCTCAAACCGCCTCTCAAGATCATGTTCCTTTTCCCTAGGCAAGTTGCAAAAGTTCATCAATATGTTAATTACTAAATCATTAAACACTTAAAGAAACCTTTAATAAACATTGATTTAAGGACTTGTCAGCACCTTTTCTCCTTAACATTAATCTACTTCAAAAAACTGATACACAAACCTAGAGCCATCTGACGGAACTAACAAAAAGGAAACGTTAACTTGCAAATTTAATTTTTATTTCATTTTTTTCTTTTGTAAGTGCTAGAACTGTACTAATTCTACCGTAATAGAATTTGTCCTTCAGTTCCATTTGTATGACAAAGACTCGCTCGGAAGAGAAATCATAATCACGATTTTTCTAATTTTACAGCACTGCAAAATGATTATTTTTAACAGAATGTAATACTCTGTTGATAATATTAAATGATGAAAGCAGAGAGAGCATTGATCCCAGGAATGATCGGACACTACGGTTATAAGTAGAATTCATTGACTGTTTAAAAAGAAAAACAAGAAGACTGGTATATTATATTTTCTTTAATAAAAAGGGGCTTTTTAATAAAATCTTGTGGTGCTTAGAATAATCATTGCCTTTTTGTATTAAAAAGAAAAATTCTGGGATAAAATTCTGGAATAATTCCCAGAAAGAGGCAGATATCAAGAACACTCATTTTTGGGTTAAGCACTGGAAAAGTCTGATTCTTATACTGTAGAAGTGTTGCATATTAATTTTAAAATAGTTTGGCCATTTATTTGCCACTACCCATTCTTAGGGAAACATACATATACAGTATAGTCTACTTTTATAATAAAAATTGTGTGACATATACTATATGTTTTAGAAATAAATGCTCTTTCAGCCTGGTTCAAACATTTTTGAACACATCAATTAAACAGCACATCAGTTACTTACAAAAGAGAGAGCTGGTTCTGTCTTCGTATCAAAGCATTCTTTTTGTTGACCAGTGTAAACCACTCCTGCATCATGGATTCTTCCTCCTCTTTATTATTTCCTGTAATCACAGACAAACTTAATACTTTATCATTTACATTCAAATTAAATAGATAATACACATATCTGCAATAATGAATATACCAACAATTAGTTACTGAAGTTATATACGCTCCCTTCTGTTTCTAGCGTTGAGAGAATGAAATAAATTAGATTACGTGGGGCTTCATTTAAAGCTCCAAATTGCTGTGTAATTTAGGAACTCTGTCAGATGTGTTGCAAAGGCAAAACACTAGACACTCAACAGAAGTTATTTTTGTCAACAGAAGATATACACTTAGATTACTGTATTTATACAAGTGGGCACATGATTTTAAAAATCAGGAGTGTGGACTGTCCCTCTGCATCATTCAGCATGACTGTAAAAATACAAGTTTAATACCCTTAAAACATGATTATAATACATATCAAATTAACACTTTAGGTGTAGGTAACAAAGAGATGCTAAATCTAAATCCCTGCCAGGGGCTGAATTGTTGTTGTGTTTCAAGGAGAAATGCCTGGTGTTGACAGATATATGGCTCTGATTTAGGCCACTGAAAACAATATTAAAAATGTGAGGGGGAAAAGCGTTGTAATAAACACTGTAGTTTTTTTCTGGAAGGATATGGCAATACTTGAGTGGTTATTTTAAAATAGGAGATCAGACCTTCGTGAACAAGCTAGAAGTTTACACGTTTTCAAGAAAGGCTGCCATGAATAACAAGATGTAAATTCAGAAAGTTCGAGGTTAACACAGCCATCTCAAACACTCAGACAGTATTAGAAGTATGTCTGTGACACTAATTAATTTGTTGTTTTTTTTAAGATCCTTTAAGCTTCTGTAATCATCTCAACTCTTCGGTGATTCTTAATGCCTGGTGCTTAGACTGACAACTGCTTCAGAAGTCCTTCAGTTTATTATCTGACAATTACATATTAGAAAACAACAACCAGATCTAAAAAAAAAACTGCATAAAAATATTGATAACTGATTTAGCCAACAACGAAGCAGTCCAAAACATACCCATTTCTCTAACAAGTGTCCACTGAAGAGCGCTGTGGATATTCCGAAATAAGGCAGCCTTACCTTCTGCTAACTTCATAGCAACTCGTTTCAAATGTAAAATAAACACAGTAGCCACAGAAGAGTGACATTTCCAACCATGTCAATAAAAGCAAAACAGGATTGTAAGATGTACCAAATGATGAAACTTAAAACTGGATTGATTTTAATGTTTGATCCAAATCTGTTAAAAACAAACCCCTTTGAATATTAAAAATGGCTGTACCCTATTATTAGTTATTTAACAGGCAAGTTACAGTGAAAACACTTTGCAGCTAAATGTAATGTTTCAAGCTACTTAATTCTCTTACATTACCGGCACACCTGTATACTTAAAAACTGGCAATTTTAAAACTCCCGGTACCAATGTATGCATAGTGTATATAGAACAAACATGGACAATACATTTGCATAAACTGCCACATATAAAATCTGCCTGGATATTAAGTGTTATTTGCAGCAATTTAGGAACTGCAGGAAAGAAAGAATAATCAAGGCAATTGAACATTTTCTAAAAAACTGGGAAGGTTGCTAACACTAGCACAGAGGTTTATTTTTTACTTTTTAAACGTCGTCACGTCCAGTAAATACCAGAGGTTTTTTTTTTGGTGTGGTTTCTTTTGTCTATCGTCAAGAATTAAAGGTAGCGAGCGGCAGTTGTCGTCTTTTTCCTGCCATGTGACAGCCCTGGGCCGGTCATGTGAGGGTGGCATGGCAGGCAAATCCTTGGGCAGCAACAAAAGAAGCAGAAGCAGGCCAGAGGAACCCGAGGAAAAAAGACCCGTCATTCAGAACAAAAAAAAAGGCCAATTGTTCTGCAGGGAGACCCTTTTTAATACGTGGAGTGGCATATGCATGTAATATTATTAATAACTTTAGGATTTAGGATCAGCTTTGAATTGCCTTACTGAAGTTTAAAGCAGGGCGTGAAGGATAAAGGTGTTACGACAGGTTGCTTAAAACGAGGAGGGAGACAAAAAACAACATAATAATGAGACAGCAGAGATTAATGAAACCTGTTGGATTTTAAAATATTGCAGACTCCAGTCTTGCATTTTATCAGTTATTATCCCCCCCAAAAAACTCATTAAACTTGGTCCATGTTTTCCAGAGTCTCACATGCAAGGGTTCTAAAGGGTTCTGGAGCTTACTGTGAAATGGAGAGCCAATGGAACAGGCACATCACAATAGCGGTATCAGGCACCGGGCACAGACCCTCTCCTCAGGTTTTAACCCTTTAACGCTGACCTACAGTATGATAATATATTTCCGTGGCAGTACTACCATCTTCGCTCTTTGACATTCTCTTCCAGGAAGAGGAACTATTTAAATTGGATACGCGAGTGTCTGAAAAAAATACACCCCTGTATGTGCTCACAAAATTAAGTATGCATTCCGAACGTGCACAAGTGGTACAACTGAAAAAGAAAACTTCAAAGCGGTACAACCAGATAATTTAGCAATTAACATTTAAAAGATATGTTTTGCAATATCACACTTTTAAGTTAAGTCATGAGGTGACAATAATGTGGCATTACATTGTGTAACTACAAGACTGAAGCAAAGCTTTTTCAATCTTTAGCATTTTAAGAAACCGTCCCTGAAAAGATCACTTACCTTCCTATGTGGGAAATCAAAGACTAGAAACTCAAAATTATCCATGGCCTTGGAATTAAACTTGGTTTTAAATACAGGCAGAGATCTTAGGGACAGAAGGTTTAAGCAGCTAAACAAAGCACAGTGTAAGGATTTCACTAAAATGTGCTCAGAAATCAGTGAACTGCTTTGAAATCTCTTGTGTTTCAACCAGTTCAGTTTTGTTCACACATCGTATTTCTTACAAACACAAATGTAGGGAGTCTATGGTGCCGTTATAAGCTCACTCACAGTTCCCTAGGAAATCAATCGCACATAATGAAAGAATATTGTACTTCAATATCAAAGTTACACAAGACTTTACGATTTAAATGGTCTTGTACTTTTGCTCCCACTTGAAAAAAAAATCTCACCTGTTCACAAGCCGTGGGAAATTTCATCGCCAAGGTGCATCTGTCAGTAAATGTCAATTGTAAGCAAACTAAATGGTAATTTGAATAAAAAAAAGTCTTCTAAAACTTCAAAATAAGACTGAGCAACACTTGCATTTTTGTCAACCCATCCCAAAGTACAGTACCAGTAAAGGTCTTTTAAATCTGCTCAAATATAGTGATTTCCCAATGTCTTCAGCTTGCGTTGATGTGTATGTCATGAGCCATGGACGAAGAAAGACGAGACATTTCAGTGGCCTGCAGGTCGGGAAATAGACCAGTGTGTAAGCAAGCTTCAATAGCCAAATAAGATTAAGATAGTGATCTTGGCCACTGCTACATTCAAACTCAGACAAAAATAATGGAAAAGCCCTGTGGTGAAACACTCCTGTATATTTCTGGTGTCTTTTTCTGCATTATTAAAGTGAAAGTTTTTATATACAAAAATGAAGAAACTTATCATACCTTAAGAAGCCGTAGGAGATAATCCTAAAATAATTTAAATTGCCATTCGCCGATGTTTGCTTATATTTACATAGAAAATAAAATTGATATATAAAATTTCAACGCATGCAGAAGTTATTCATTTCATTACACGTAGCAAGAGGGTTTTTTTAAAAAATAAGCTGCAAAAAATAAACCTTAATCCATTTTTTACTTTAAATTGATAAAATCATTTAATCAGATCATTCACACATTTCCTATAGCCAGATAGACAGAATACTTGCAGCAATATAAAGTACGCACTATATAAGTGAGCAGAACAGGGACAGAATAGGATACATAATTTGTCTTTTTACCAAAACAAAACCATTAAAGATAATTACTCTTTGAACTTTCCTTTCTTACAATCTTCACAAAAGCTTTTTTTGACCGATCCCATTTCCAGAAAATACAAGCGCCAGGAGAGAAGAAAACAATTCAAATTACAAGAGAGGGTATAAAACCAATTTGGTAAATTCTACTTTTTTTTGTAAGAGTTTAGATATAAATCTTAAACGACAATGAACAAAAGCGACCATTACAAATTAATCCCGACTTTTAATAAGTAGCTGAGACCTGGGTTTCCCTAGTAAAGAAAAAAAAGAAAAAAATATATTAAAACCCTGTGATCACAGCAAGCTTTTCTCATTTCTTATCCAATCATTTTCTTTTTAATCCAATACCAGTAATCCAATTTGTCTATCAGACTTTTAAGGGGCAGAATGCAACTTCCATTTCTTCTACACTTCTGAACATACAATATATTTTCAGAAGAATGCGGCATGTTTCATTTTAGCCCTACTGTTCGCTGCTCTAATGTCTTGAGGAAAAAAGAACAAGATGAACATTGTTCCTACTGATTAAGTAAGAGCTCATTAAAGACCTGTCAGTGCCTTACTTTGAATATGCATGAAGCACATAATCAGATCTCGTACCGTCACTAGAGGAGAATACGGTAAGTACAAAGGATTGATTTAATTACTTAGAGTGGGCTGTGGTGTGGAGCTGTCTTGTTAGCAAGGAAGAAAAGCAGGCTGTATTCTTGCTCTGTTCGAAAAGGTAGTTTAGCTTCTGTCACAATACCTAATCTCAGGATAAAGCACTGTGCATTGTGGTTTAAGGGGCCGTCACTAGCCTAAAATGAATGTAACACATTTTCTCTTGTTTAACTCAACCTGGTTAACCACCCTTATGCTGACAGGTCAGCCTCACTTCAATAACCTCTAGATAAAAGTAACCAAGCGAAGTTTTAGCTTCAGTGGAGTGAGGAGTCACTATGTCCCTCTATCTTTACGTGTTCCAAACCAATAGAAAATGTAGTAACATGATAATACTGTTTGTTACACAAGAACTTAAATTTAATTCCTTGGTTAATGGACCAAAATGTTACAGAAGGTTCGTCATTAGTAATTTACACCAGTTATTCAAAGCAAACACACATTATAATGAAAATTTCACGAGGCAAAAAGGCAGCTGAGGTACGGTTTAGCTCTAATTCTTTTTATATATAATTTTTCATACAAGAACCTGCATTATTTTCTTAGCGTTCAAAAAATGTTGTGCCTAGTATATTATCACAGCTGTTATTGATGTAACTGTTAATAATAATGTCACAACTTAACTAGGATTCAATAATCAATTCTCCCGATTAACAGGCATTCTTTACAGGGTGAGCTGCCAGTTTGGCACGCGTAGTAGATTAACATGGAAGCAAATTCACACTTTACCTGAAGTATTTCTTGATGTCGCCAAACACCAAACGGACTTAGCAAATGTTCTTGAAATGGGAGAAGCATGGCTATACATACAGAGTTATCACCTATGCTTTTATGTAATTGTTAGAACGTGTGCTCTGAGAGAATGCATTGTTATTACCCGAGGAAGATAACTCTCCTAATAAATTTCTACATCTCCAGTACGCAGTACACAAACACCCCTCAGCAAACACCTCCTCCCACTGCTAGCGGGATAACAACATTCAGTTAATAACGGGGAGGAGGGAGGCAAAAACAAACATGACTCCGATAACAGATTTGCCTTTTAAGCCCAAGTGTTAATTTAATTTCACCTTGCCTAACTCTTCTCTATCTGCTGTTTTTATTTGTCATTGGTTTACTACAGGAAATCTCAGTTAGAAACAAAACTGCCCCCCCAAAAAAGCCCCTGTTTCTGAACCGCCCCAACACACACACACCCATCCACCCCCTCCCCTTTTTTCAAATTGCATTCTTTAAATCAATAAACATTATCACAGGCCAACAGTCTATCAGCTACTTGCAGCAGCGGCTCTGTTTTTTTAATTTCAGACTAGCATGTCCACAGTTTCCTGGAGCTCTGAGGCAGGTATTGATGCTGACAGGTTTACATTAAAACGTACACCATGTTCAGGAGACATAAAAATAGATAAGTTAAAAACAAGATCAGGGCCACTTCTGTGTTTCAGACAGAAAATAGCTTGAATTTATTTCATAATCAAACACGTGTTTGATTTTAATTTTGTAAGTACACGGCCCGCAGTGTAGTTTTCAAAACTGTTCTCTAATCGGCAATGTAGTCTTTTGCTCTTGTCGGCACTGCCCATAGCCACATTGAAATATATAATTACACACAGATTCCAAGGTAAAGGCTTCATTTAAAAGCCAAGTGCTAAATACCACATATAATAGCACATAAAGCTGCCTTTAAGACTTAACCTATTTAAATCACAGCAGTTATATTGCATATACTGGCTGCACCATCACAAAACGCCAGCTAAGATTGAAAAAGCTCTCCGAAACAACCTCACCAAGAGGCTAGATGTGATAAATGACCATATTTTCGTTTTGGGAACATTGGAACCTATTTACAGCTTGCTTTTCTATGTTGAATATCGAGGCAAAATCAAGGACCTTTAGAAAAGCAGAACACTTCAGGTAATTAATACTGGAAGAGGGGCAGATGAGAGATCAATGACAAAATCACCTGGTAAAGCCATAAAAAGGTGTTGCATTAAAAGGCTTTTACTATACATGCCAAACAATACAGAGAAACCAGTATTTTAGCACTTGTACTCAACAGGCACTCCAAACCAGGCTATGATGAGAACAGAAACCTATCCTAGCTAATAATCTTGTAACAAAAGCTAAAAGACATCATCCTATTAACTAGTGATCTCAACTGCTAATGCTGAGTACTTCCTGGTGCCTTTTATACAGAACGCTGCTATTAAATGAGGTCTAAACAGTCACTGGGAACACAGACTTCATTCACCTTTTATCTGTCTCTCTTGTTGGAAGACTACGAGTGGGGCTGAAGGTGTCAGTGATATTATAGAGTGGAAATTAATCAGAAATTTTTCTCATATTTTTCTTGTCACACTAATTTACTTTTTGTACAAATTTTGCCCAGTTAAAAAGTTCAAACCCAACCCCCTGTTGCACTCTTTTTAGTTGAGAATATTCAATGAGCAAGCCAACTGAAAAGCACCAAGTCCTCACACAAAAAGCGTTCGAAATTCTCATTTAGTTGTCTTTATTTTGTTAGCGCCATGTGGTCCTTGAAGATGTAGAAAACACGGGAAGCTGAGTAAAGATCAGAGCAGGCTCATTAGCATTCTGACAAAATTGGAGTGGCCGAGATGTATAGTTTGCCTACTTTGCTGGTCTGTGAAAGCTGCCGGTGGTAAGCTCTCTACTTCATTGTGCTTTTGTCTTTTCTTGGGGTTTTCAGCGCAGCAGGGTATTTGCTAGCCCCAGGTTGCACAGAGAATCATGGGAAAAAGAAAAACGTCGCTGTCTATCTCGACAGCAGTACAATTTCTCAATACAACACCAAGTTGGCTTCTAGTCCTTTTATTTAATCTCCCAAGCTTCTGATTAACGGCAACGTTACTGGTGTGTCGTTAGTCTTCTCCCTTTTTAAACTCATCCCCACAACACTTCACAAACCCCAATCACATGCAAAGATGCCGAAAAACCTTTGAGATTTTCTTCGAAAGGAAAACGGCGTGGCAGAAGTCATTTCTGACTGGTTGCCCAATGAACCTTAATCAAGGAGCTGCCTTTTTTTGATAAGAGAGTAGAGGGGGAGAAGACTAGAGAGATCGTGTATATTGAGGGTATATAAATAATGACTCGCCCGGCAAAACCTGTAAAACGTACGATTTGGGTCATTTGGTTTAAAAACATTTAACTAAAAAAAAAAATACGGCTCAGCTTTGATGAACAAGAAAAAGGCTACATTAATGCTCACTATCCTGCATCAACCTTTCCAAGTTGTAGTGAAATGGATAAAGGTCTCTCTGGATGGATTTATCTGCTGAATCCTTGTGGTTGGCCTCCTATCTTGGATGGTGACCCGAAAGAATGTCAACAGCTCATTTCCCAGAGAGCTGGAAGGAGTCGTCATGCAAGTCATAATCTGCTCCTTCTCAAAAGCACTGTTTCAGACATTAAATTTCACAAGCTGTTTAACGAGATTTTTCGTATCATCTCTTACCCCGCCGATACTTTGCACGCATCTGATGGACCAAACAAATTTTTAAAACGGGATTGGTCTGCAAAGAACCTCTTTCAGCACACATAAAATGGGATCCCTTTTTAGATAATCTAGTTTGCCGCAGATCTTGTTAGGGAGGGGAAAAAAAATCTACACTATAAAGGCAAAGTGCACAGCAATGATGATTAAATTTACCCCATACATAAACACGGCAAGTGAAAGAATCAGCAATTTCCCTTCACAATCAAAATATGAATCTGGGACTAATTGGAAATGACCCATAACCTTGAGATCACACGTCGACTGCATCCAACAAACAGAAACTGTAGCTGAGAGCATAAAAACTCCTCTGGTAGGTTTATTATTTTTTTATTTCATGGCTGTCTTCCACACAGTAACCAACTGCACAGAGAGGTGAAGCCTTTCAAACGCTGAAATTGGGGACTTTTTCCATTTTATTGCTTTTACGGAATCTTTTTTAATTGGAATCTTAAACCGCCTGGGTGAGATTTGCACTGTTAGGTGACGTCCTAAATCTCTGTTCATACCACGAAGCGGCTGTCAGCTTGCGGCAAACAAAAATGTGCCTTACCTATTGTGTGTTTACTGGAACGTTTTCAATTCTTTTCTTTTTTGCTGGCTTCTAAAATATTTAAAATGTTTAAACAAAAATTAAACAGATGAATAATTCTTATGTTCAATTTTCACTCTGCTAACTGCAGCAAAGGAAAAAAGCCCGTATTCTGTTCCTAGTTTGGGACCAGATGTTTCAGAAATGACCAACAATTGGGGGCCTAGAATAAATTAATGACTGATTTCTGAGCTTTGATGGAATTAAGTGCACTCCTTTTCTCAATGTGCCATGTGAATGTCCTCCCGTTAAACGTTTTTTTTTTTGACAAGTGAGGCCACCCAGCAGAAAGTAACTGATGCAAAACCCAGGAGTAATCCCCTGTTTAGCTCAGCTCCGTGGTTAGTCTTAACACTGCCTCTATTATCTGATGGATTTAGGCAAACTTTCATTTATTTGTTGGCCTCGGTTTTCAACTTTGTTGCCTGAGTTGAAGATCCCAAGCCCCATTCCAATGTAAATAGATTTGCATACAGTTACAATGCTTCTTGCCTGGGTTCTGATGAGAGAGCAGTAGGTAGCTGCTCATGTGGAGTGTCTTAGGCATACATGTATATGTTAAAATGTGGTTCCTAATAACAAGGACTTAATGCACACATGCATATCCGAGGTAGCCAGAGTTCCTCTTTCAGAAATCAAGTGTGTTCATTAACTTGTACAGCTTTTGAGGTTGTTTTCCTCATATGTACTGTAAGCTGCAACATTAAAATGATCAGAAATGGTGCTCAGATTTGTAAAGTCACCCTTCCCCGCCATCAAAAAAGGGTCCATGCGTTTTAAAGATGCATTCAATTTGATAACGTGCTAGAGTAAAGTTTAATCAGCAATTAATCTTGTTTATTGTCTGCAGTCAGTAGTATTGTGTGCGTTACAGATATCCCCACAATAAATTCCTGTGGTGATGATCACAGGACCACAGCAAAACCAAGGGAAATTGCAGGTTTCAGGCACATCGCAATTTCTATCAGGTACCACCTGGAAACAATTTCAAGCCCGGATCCCCAGGTCTGACTCCGCTGTCGTGTTGGGAAACGTGCGACATGACAGCTGGGCAGGATCCGTTTCTCCTTCAGGGTGATGAGCCATTATGGGCCCGATCACAGGAACATGCGGCTCCAAACTAAAGGCTCAAACTGCTCTTTTCACGTGTTTAAAAAGAGAGAGGAAAAAACAGCCTTCCCACTTTATCTCCAGTGTTTATAAACTCAATTCGTCCAAAACCGTCCCATCCTCACAAGCATGAGGGGCTTTAGTTTGATGACCAAATTATAATACTCGCTTTTCATTATTCTGTGCCATGAATCTAAGGGAGCATCTATAAAGCAGATTTCTAATTTAATAACACTTGGACCGATTTTGACTAAACAAAAAAAATGTTATAGTACTTTAAACCTGTTACCTGTTTTGACTACTACAGGCCCATGTCTCGTCTCTAGAAAACCTCTATTTCATTTTCAAGCCCGCAGATGCATAAACGCTTAGATTGTTCCTTTCATTTGCTTTCTGTCTACACTGCAAATCCAATATTGTGCCTTTAAAGACACAGATTGTAAAAAAAAAATCTCTGACACATTCATGGTTTATGCAGAACCTCAAAAAATCGTCAGGCATTCGTGCTCACTGGGGTAACAACAGCAAACACTGCAGATCCCAAGTGGGGTGAAGAAAAAGAAGGGGGGCAACTTTGCCAAAAGAAACTCTTACAATGGAGGTGCCAAAGCCTGTTGACAGTCCCAATTTTCTTTGCATAATTTTCCCCGCCTCCTCCATTAGCTGTATACTGCTCCCCAGGTCCTGCGTTATAACAAATTTGCCCAGTGTCATATTACGTGTGTCTCAAGATGGCCAACAAGGTTATAATTGCAGAAACGCAATGAAATAATCTGAGGTAGTAATGGTTGTGTGAACACCACTAGTTTGTCCAAAGCATCTGGATAAGAGCTTTATTCTATTACTGAGTTAGTGGCAAGCACAGGCTTCAACTACTGGTTTAAAAAAAGTGGCCTGGCAGCTAAAAGCTCAGCAACAAAACATTTTTAGACATATGAAACCAGAAACGTAAATTTACTCAGAAACACTCAAATAACATTTTTGCGCATGGCTTCTCTGCTCCCATTCTACTGATTACTAAACAACTAAACTGAGTGGTGTTTGTAGGCAAAACAGAGTCATACAATAGGAAACCAACAACTACAAAAGTGCCAGAACAGCAAGTTTTGCAAGTGAATGGCAGCCATTACTATCAGGTCCCTAGTCATTACACTTAATTGTATAGTGCATCTGAAGCCGTTAACATCTGAAAAGGTTGATTAATTGACTGTATAGGTAGAATTCAATTATGTTGTCGGAACACAAGTTGTAAACTAAATAAATGATCAATTATGCAAAGTACTCCCCCCTCAAGCACATCCCAATTCTGTTATTTTATCTGATCACTTAAGGACAGAGAATTTAAAAACCATTTCAAGTGAGAGACCTGGAAGTGGTCTCTCGCTCTTTTCAGATGCATTACTTGGCACTCTGAGCAAAATACACATCGCTGGTAATTTCTTTATATTATTCAGTGTGGATAGAAAATCTGTTTTTTAAAGGTGCGGGTTTAAAAAAACATTATACACATATAATATACTATACCCTGGTTTTTGTCCTGTTTTACTTGAATCAATGTCAAAATGCTTTCAGATGAAAAGGCAATCGCACCCTGGGATAGTTCAATAAAAGAGGGATTATAATAAGCGCAGGCATTGTCCCTTTTCAAAATGCTAATCTGCTATATCACTTGCTTTTACAATGCAGCATGTACGAATGTTTAACTAAAGTTCAAATCAACAATTTCAAGATGA